ATGTTCGTGAATATTTTTATACGTAATTGTGAAAACAATCGCTGTCACTGATATGAGTCCGATTGATAAAAGTTCATTACCTTTCGCAATAATAATTATATATATGTATGTATGTATAAACTAACGTATGTATGTGGCCAATGAAATGGTAGAGTTTAAAATATTTTGGTTTTCTGTTTATATAAAAAAATTGAGCTGATGCCAGGTTTATAACTAGATTGATATTCTTGCTTTCATTTGACAAAAAACAAAGCAAGCAGACAAAATAATTTATGAATGAACACGCTCTAATAGAAAATTGTAGTATAAAATAAAGGTAGATATAGAGGAAATTCTCGAAGGAAATGAGACCTTACTGACCTCCATCACGACAATTAGATTACTTTAGTTTGAAAATGACAAAAACAATAGGCTTTATATAGAAACAACGCAAAATAGCACATCCTAAAATGTCAAAGTGGATAAAGGTGAAATCGTGATAAAAACAAAGGTTTTGTTTAATTCATGTAATAAAGTTAGGAATATTCTCAGTAAAAAAATCAAACAAGTTATTTCACTTTCATTTATAATATATATATATGTATACCTATCCATAATTAATATAGAAATTCATTTAAACAGAACGCAAGGCTTATGTTTAGGAATGAAGTCCATTTTTTGTTCTTGTTTATTTTGTTGTAATGTTAATTTTCCAGATTTGGTAAGATGATAAAGAGGGAAGCTTTAGAGTGTGCATTGTTTTGTTTGCAAATGTCGGGACAAGATCCCTACAAACTACAAACTCTTTTTTCCAAGTTTGTTAATGGCATATGGTTAATTTTTATAATAATTTTTACTCCCTGCATTGTCACTGAGATTTTTGCTGGATCGGATGAACTAACAAACATTGCCGATGCCGCTTCAAATATATTTATCTATGTGGCCGTAAGTTCTTATACGTAATAAAATTAGGTACTTATGAAAATAATCCAAATACAAAATGTTTGAAATTAGTTTTATTTTTATTGGCTAAGGGGGGGGGGGAAATTTAAAAGTGTTCATTTTTAATCATTTTGACTTATGACCAGAAATGTGAGAAAATTCTTTTCTCATACATATCTTCGATCATTGGAAGACACGATCAACATCATCAAAGACAGTACAACTGTAGAGATAGATATACAGGGGGAAAAAGATTAATATGCTTAGATTTGCGAATGATACAGCAATATTAGCATCTAGCAAGAAGGAATTGGAGATAGTTTTAAATACAATGGAAGCGGTATTGACAAACCAGTACTGTATGAAAATAAATAAAAGTAAAACAAAAATACTGGTATGCAAGGGAAGGAAAAGTAGGGAAAGAGCGAATATAAAGATAATAGACGAAAAATTAGAAGAAGTGGCCGATTTTAGGTATCTAGGAAGTCATATAATTCAGGACGAAAGGAGTAGTAGAGATATATAGCAGAGGATAGCGCAGGGTCGAGTCGCCTTCAGTAAAAGGAAATCACTTCTATGCTCGCGAACGGTTAATTTAGAAATTCGAAAAAGGTTGTTATAGGTGTATGTTTGGAGCGCAGCGTTGTACGGATGCGAAACATGGACAGTGGGCGCGGCGGAAAAGAAAAGGTTAGAAGCGTTCGAAATGTGGTGTTACAGGCGAATGATGAGGATACCGTAGATAGAGAAGGTTAGAAATGAAGAGGCATTAGAAAGAGTAAGAGAACAGAGGATACTATGGAAGTCAATAAGAAATAGATGAGATAGGTTGGAAGGACACCTTCTCAGGCCTGAACAGAGGCATATTAGAGGCAGAAACGGAAGTGAGGAGGGGTAGAGATAGACCTAGATTAGATTACTGTTCGCAAATTGTTAAGGATATGGGTTGTTCTAGTTTTACGGAAATGTGAAGATTATCTCAGAATAGGAAAGAGTGGAGGTGCGTGTCCAACCAGTCTTAGAACTGACGACCTTATGATGACGATACACATCTTGGAGAAAAAGTCTAAAATAATTCATAGAAACAAGTCTTTGACTCCTTCGTGGCATTTGTTCCAAAGAAAAGAAATGAGACAAATAATAAAATGATTTTTTTATTTTAATGAATTGGATAAAATATATATATACTTATGATAGATTTTTATGTGTTAACTTTTTTAAGGCAATTTACAAAGTTTGGAACCTTCTCAGGGGACGTCAAATAATCATTGAACTCGTAACACAACTGGACGACTTTTGGACATCAGACGTTTTTGATCGAGATTGGAAACGGAATTTTGAAATTTCCACAGATAGGAAAGTAGTAAAAGTTTGTAAGCTAGTGGGTGGATTGTACATATCTTGTGGAGTCTATTACGCTGTTCGACCTTTGTTTCTGCAAAGAAAAGTATGGCCAGTCTCAGTTTATGTAATTCCAGCAATTAATAACATTTCCGGGTCTTACTGTATTATGTATATGGTCGAAACGGTACTAATCCTTCTGATTGCTTTTAATATGACAGGACATGATTCTCTCATTTTTACACTTGTTTATTACGCTGTGCTTGAGTTGAGAGCATTGCAAAAAGCATTGAAAGATCTGATTGCTCACGAAGACAATGAAGACGAACTTTTGAGAAAATTAAAAATTTATGTAAAATGTCACGACAAACTTCACAAGTAAGTTTCAATCAAAGTTAAGTAAGTAAATCTAACAAAGAACAGTATCATTACCTTTGCTTTTAATTAATTTTAGGTATATTGAAAAAGTGAATGAATTATTTTCATTATTTTTCTTGTACCAGTTTTTCTTCACCACTATAGGTATATGCATAGCCATTTTTATAATGAGTATAAGCATGTAAGTATCGGCGCTTATAGTTAATATTAAGATTTCTAGTAAAAACTCAAATAAGTAATTGTTTGATTAAAAGTGTAGTTTTTGGCACAACATACAGTGGATTTCATTTATTACGACCTTGGTTATAGCGACGTCATATGTAAGTCCCTTGAATTTAAAGCATACTTGAGTATAAAATTCATGTGGCTATAGCGACTTCGGATGTAACGCCGAGTTCGGGTGTAGCGACTGTTTTTAATGAATCATTTGTAACAAATCCCTAGTAATCCCATACTGATATAGCGACCGAAGTCGGCTGCTAAAGACACAAACAGCTTTCTTATCTTTTGTTTACATTCACATAAATAGTCAATAAGTGGGGTGACATTTAACGTTGTTTTTGAGTAGCGACTGTGTTTAGTAAACTTTTGAATAAGTGTGACTTTCACTTGTGCATTTATTGTTAAAAAAAGCAAAAATTGTTTCAAAATTGAAAAACAGTGTGTGTCTGTATCTCCTTTAACTTTGCCTGTAACGACTTCTGGATATAACGACGAAATTACAGTGGTCCCTTCGTTGTCGTTATACCCGAAATCTACTGTACTATAAAACATTTGTTTGAAAAGCAGTTGTATACTGTGTCTCATTTTTTTTTTTCAAGTTCAACATTTCACTACGACGATGTGTTTAAATTTGTTCTTCAAACTATGTGCGTTTATGTTCAAATGACATTGTATTGCAAGGGTGGATCAGATTTAGCCTACGAGGTGATTTTATGAATAGTGCACTTCAGAAAATTATAAATTTAGTCTAAACAACTTTTAGAGTGAAGCTTTGGGACAAGCTATCTATGAATCAGATTGGACTTCTGCTTGTCAACCGAAAGTACGAAAAATGATGATTACTATAATTCACAGAAGCCAAAAAACAGCAAGACTTAATGCAGGCGGCTTATTCGACATGAATTTGAATAGTCTGACATCGGTAAATTTTAAAAATCCTTTTTAACAATAAATCTATATTTGCATTTGGATGGGACTTATTTATTGATTAATTTCTAGGCAGCGAAAGCTACATTTTCTTATTTTACTTTGCTGAGAACATTGTATACAAAACATAATTTATATAAATAGGATAAATCATTTTCGTGGCTGAAGCCTTTGCTTTTTTTTATACGTATATAAATAAATGATTTGTATTTGTACCCTTGATGTATGAATAGGTATTTTAGATTTTTTGTACGTAGATAAAACATATAGAGCAACACAATCTAAAATATATGTATATGTTTGTTAATAAAATTGTAATAGCAATATTAACATAAATAAATTATTATCCATGCTAGTCTTGTTTTAAGCCTTTAGCTTATTAATTTCAAAAACAGTCATTCGCAAATACATTAAGGAACATTGGTTTGGTTGAAGTAAATAAAATAAAGGATTAAATTAATCCCTTTCCAATTTCTTACGAATTGGTTCAGACATTAAATAGGAAAAAGACATGCGATTGGTTACTGTTTACTATATTATAGCAGCATAAAATATGAGGAGGTGTAAAAGTATATACAATTGGAAACCGACATAGATACCTATTACTTTAAGAATAGCGCAAATTAAAAGGCAACATCACAAAGGATGTTGTGCTATAGGAACACCCTTTTCGTTTTATCCTTGAATGCGTTCCTTTCTTTTCTGTTCCGCTTTGTAATCGACTTGAGAACCATTTAATTTGAAAACGATTGGTTATGCAAATTGCAGAGCTATCTAAAGGGAAGGGAAAATCAAGAGTACGTATACAAATAACCTTAGGGATGAAGTCAGTTTCTTTTAGTGCCTGTTCACTTTATTGTATCGTTGATTTTCCAGATTTGAGAACATGATAAAGAGGAAAGCTTTAGGTTACGCACTCCTATGTTTAGAAATATCTGGGCAAAATCCCTACAAAATAGAGACTTCTTATGCCAAGTTCATGAACTTTCTGTGGATGTTTTTGACGGTAATATTTACCCCTTGTATAATTATTGAAGTTTTCGCCGGATCGGATGAAATAACATTGATTGCTGATGCCGCTTCTAACATATTTATTTTTTATATTGTAAGTAAATGTAAAAAAAAGAAAATAACATATATGTATATAGTTAAAGGCCGTTATGTTTCGATATGATATATGTATAAAAATGACCCTAATGGGTCCATTTATGGAATTGAAAAACAGGTCAAAATGCATAATAATTTGTGCAATTGAAATTTTTGCAGTTGCACTGCCATTTTTTGAAATATATATTTTTTTAGGCAATTTATAAAGTTGTGAACCTTCTCAGAAGTCGTCAAATAATTATTAATCTTGTAAAACAACTAGACGACTTTTGGACATTAGACGTTTTTGATCGAAACTGGAAACGCAATTATGAAATTACGTCAGATCAAAAAATGGAAAAAGTTTGTAAACTACTGCGTTTACTGTACGGAGCTTGTGGCTGTTACTATATCCTTCGACCTATAATTTTACAAAGGAAGATATTTCCAGTCCCAATTTATATTATTTCAGCAATTGATAACATTTCCTGGTCTTATTATTTAATTTATGTGCTGGAATCAATATTAATCATTATGATTGTCTTTAATATGGCAGGACATGATTCTCTTATTTTCTCTCTTGTTTACTACACTGTGCTTGAATTGGAAGCATTGGAAAAGGCATTCAAAGATTTGGTTGCCGAAGAAAACAATGAAGACGAAGTTTTGAGGAAATTAAAAAATTACGTAGAATATCACAACAAAATTCTCAAGTAATCCTTTTATAAATGTTAAGTACATGTTTACATTTTATAGAAGAATTTCTCTTGAAATCGCCACGATTTCACTCAAGTTAAAGAACTAATTTTCTTCTTGTTGTGTATATTTTTACAGGATTGTTGTTCTCTAGTACATTTTTTGCTACAATCCAATAAATTTTAGGTTCATCGAAGGACTTAACAAAGTATTTTCGTCATTTTTCTTGTGCCAGTTCCTTTTCACCACGTTGGGGATTTGTATATCTCTTTTTATCATAAGCATTAACTTGTAAGTGCGTACAGTTTAGTGTAAATGTAAAGTTAACGTATTCTCAACGAAGGGAATACTATTTTTTTTATAACTACCTGTAATTAACCATTTATACTTAAAAATAACTAAATAGTTCTCATGTTTATGTTAATGTACTCATATATTTTCCAGGTCACCGTTTCGTTACGATAACGTATTAAAATTTGGTCTTCAAAGTATAAGCATTTATTTCCAAATGACATTGTACTGTAAGGGTGGAACAGATTTTACTCACAAGGTGATTGTTAAGACATTATACCTGCGGGCTTCCCCGAATCCTTCTAATTGCCGCCTTCGTTGTATTCGCAGTGCATCTGCCTTGTATTCTTGAAATTTGGTTTTTCCCTAAATTATAACACTATTGTGTACCATCCAGCTACGAACCTTTTGGTGTACGTGACTAGTGTCGTTGGGAGTAGTGACCCGGGAAAAATTCCATAAAGAGAAATAACACAAGTGGGAGAAATAGGTTGAGATAAAAAAAGGACAGAACAGTTCAGAAAAGACAGTATTAGCACATCCATCAAAGCAATCGCTTCAAAATTCAATTCATTTTTGTAATCTTAAGTTTAAGTGTGTATGTATAGGGTTAATAAACGTATTTAATGATACGCATCTTATTAATCGGACATACGCTGGTCCTTCGAGTTGTTTAATTGTTCTTACCGAACAATATATGTGGTACAGCAGTACACCGGCGAAAGATAGGTATATAAGTTTTTTTACTTTTCCTTCGCCAAGCGAGCCAAGCTCCGTAACAGTGATTTTATTGATAGCGTACGTTTATGGATTGAAAATTACTTTTATAAAAATTATATAAATTTTCTGAAAGTGCAAAAGAATAATTTTAGAGTGAAGCTTTGGGGCAAGCTATCTATGAATCAGATTGGACATCTGCTTTTCATCCAAAAGTACGAAAAATGATGATTACAATAATTCACAGAAGTCAAAGAGCTGCTGAACTTGACGCAGGTGGCATGTTGCGGATGAATTTGAATTGCCTTACATCGGTGAGATATTCCTGAAGAGATTTTTTTAATGGTTGATGTAATTTATTTCTTAATTCATTTTCTAGGCAGCAAAGTCAACATTTTCTTATTTTACCTTGCTAAGAACATTATACACATAAAATAATTTAGATAACTAGGTTGTACTTAATAATATAATATAAAAGCAAATGTATTGTTCGTGATGTAAGAACCTTAAAAGGAGACAAAGAGATATTCTATAGATTCCTTTTAATAAGTACTTGAACTAAAAAGAAATACTTATTAGATTATCTTGCTGGTGCCACTATTCAGTACCCGGCATCTATCACAAATCACCACTGAAGGTGCCGTCAGCAAGAAGCGAAACGTTCCACGGCAAAAATTCTCGAAAAACGATATCGAATTAATGTAAGTCGGCCGTGAAAACCAACCTGAAAACTACTAAAAGATATTGTGGTGTGCTAATAGGTACCGATGGTCAAAAAATCTTAAAAAACGATTTCAAAAAAATTAGGCGAACCTAAAGTTAAATAAACCCTGGATTCCAATGATTATCCTTATTCCAATGTGTAAAGAATCAAAACCAGAATGAGTTTGTTATATGTATTAAAGTTAATATTTTGTTTGTTACATTAGCAAATGTTTGTATTTTGCATTTAAATACTTTTAGCAAACCACATTCTGCACATCTCTACATATAAAACATACAATAAATGCATTTATTTGTGCAGTGCTTGTTAACCTTATTATTATTCTAGGTTTGGTTAAATTTGCGAATAAAACATTATTGACAAAAGCATTTAATAAATTACGGGTTTTTAATTAGTTGTTTATTATTTTTCGATGCCGCAAACGCGCAAACTATTGTAAATGACATCGTGTTATTACTTTTTAATAGTCACCTATATAATAGTACACATACATATATTTATTTGGTGAACAGATTAACCAACCAGACCTTGACTGTCATGACGATTCTTTCTAGTTGATTTCCGCGTTAATTATAAAGTGATTTTTTTATGAGGTGCGACATTCGAGTGTACAATTTAGTGTTTTAACAATATAAACATTACCGTATACAAGTAAATTAAATAATTCAGAAGAAGACATGTTATACCCTGTCTTTGTTTCCACCGGCAACGTTTCAACGAAAGCTGACGTTAGTTTTAATCAAAAGCTCGGCGTGGTGATTTAACCTTCTTACAAAGAACAACGTTATTGACTAATTGACTTATGTACAATTAATACTTCTGTGTATAATTAGTTAATTAAACAAGTGATGAGAAAGCTTTTGGTTTTTGGTACATTTGGATTTCCGTGATTGTGGTTTAAGGTAAGTTTATTATTTATTGTATGTACAGTGTAAACTCTATATAACGACACTTAAGGGAGTGAACATTTTTCGGTGTTATAAAGAGTGGTCGTTAAATGAAGAGAAATAAAAGATATTATTTACACATTTTGTACACGAACATTATTATTCATACATTGCGTATAGCCTGTTATCTTCGTCTGATGTTTTTTGCTGCTCCAATATTGTAATTGTATTTTGTTACGCATCTTACTCATATCTTGAGATACTGCTGGATCAATTTGATTATATAAAAAGTATTTTTTTAATAGTTTCGCTGCATCAAGTGCTTGTTTGATGCTTGGTGGAGGGACAGGATCGTCTTCTTCAACAACGTACACAGCTGCAGTTCTTATCTATTTCGGCAACTTAGAAAGTACTGCTCAATGATTTATAATGCCGCATTGTTGTCGTTAAATAGAGTGAGCGTGACGCTATATAGAGTGTAATATTGTATAGAAAACAATGTAAACCAACCAAAGTCAAGCAATTTCGACGTTTTAAGGAGTTTGTCGTTAAATCGAGTGACGTTATAAAGAGTTTACACTGTATTTGTTTTTATTTCCTGATAGTCACTAGAATAGATATGATCATTTGTTAAATTAGACGATTTAGTGTCGAAATATGTGACTCAGCATTGATATATTATAATTATACCGAGTGTTCATTTAGTAAATCGAAATATTTATGGAAGTTTGTTCTTAAAAGGGGCTCTCAAAATGTTTATATTCACAACATAAAACATTATTTCGTGGGTACAAGGTATGAGATAACATGGTAATTTTTACAAAAATTTTCTCTAGGTGTAGTGAAAGATTTATTAATTAGTGGTCATTTGAACTGGGCCAGTTTTCTAAGTTTTCCTTGAGGTCCACTACAATCTGCAGTGTTATAAAAATTATTTTTTTCAAATAATTTAAGATAATTGCATACCATATAGAGATATTTATTCGCTATTGAATGTAAACATGTTGTGGTGATGTTTTTTTGGACTTTGAAAACCAGTTTTTACATTTGAATCATACATGATTTAAATTTTTGACATTTAATTATCAGCACAAGAATTATTTTTTCATTGAAAGTATGTAAAGATACTTAAATATTGGTTCTAAGCTTTATTTAAACCTTAAAGTTCGATATAATTAACCCACAAATATTGTTGTTGCATATATGACTTTCAGATCATGAAGAAGTCTAAAAAAAATTGAAACCTTGACATCTTTTTTATAGCATTCAGTAAAGTACAATAACAATCACATAAAATTGCTTACCATTTGCAAATTTCAAAAAAGACTTAATGAGTAATAGAACATGTTGACATTAACAAAAATAAATATATAGTTAGGTCTGTCTTTCTTTTCTTAATAGAATGATTGCTAATTTTAAATTTCAGTATTAGCAAAATTTTAAATTAAGTACTTACAGTATTAAACAAAAAGTACGTTTTTTCAAAACCTAAGCACTTATCAGTACGAAAATAAGTGTAGGTGGTTTACAATTACCCGTTAGAGACAATACAAATATTGAGTTAGTTGTAAATATTACAAAGCTCAACAGTTTTCCTAATTTAGCGAGCATTGTAACTAACCATCTTAATTTACCAGATAAATTTAAATTACATTTTTTAGTCAAAAAAGTTAGAAATTCACAATGTGCAATATTGACTGAAAGAAATTATGTATAATTCAATTTTATGCGATATCTGTATACGTAGAAAAAATTATCATCGGAAAAACATACGTGCACGGAAAAAATGAAAAAGGAAAATTTACATAAATGTTAAAGCGATATTTACAGTTTATCCCACTAGCCCGTTATTTTGTAAATGAAAATAATTAAAATTACCATTTCGACCCGAATTTGTAAAAATAAAATCCCAGCAGAAATAAATTTACTAGGTATTTTAGTCGATATTAAGAAACTTGAAACAATTTAAAAAAAAAACATGTCAAAATTGAGATTAGTACAAGTTACCTAATAAATTCTACTATTTCTACGACAAATTCAGTCATTTACAATCGAAAATTGTAATTTTTGCGTTATTCTCCGTGTAATTATCTAATTAAATTTGTTCCTATGTAAAAGGAGATACCTACATGATGTTAGACGTTATTAAGAATAAAAACTACAGAAACAAAACTCTATAAAAGTAAAATGTATATTAACAAGTCAACAAGTCATGTTTGTAAACAATTATTCCGTTTCTACACTTTCGTCGACAAATAGTGAGTAGGTATTTTTGGCTCACCTGGGTAAATTGTATTCGCAATAACGATTAAATAAGTGTTACTTCGTGTGGGGTAACAATTCGCGTGAAACTACACACTCAACTGTCCGGTTTCATCACAACAATTGCCACAATCCGAAATTTCGCAAGAAAATGATCCAGCGTTAACGGTGATTACGCTGTTGTAGATAAACATTTTTCGACGGTTGTTCACATACAATCATCTTATTTAGCACATGTTTAGCATGTAGCAATGTGACTGGCTGGGCGCCAGTTCGTTTCGTCGACGCTTATAATGTGCAAAACAGCGGCGTCGTGTTAATTAGAAAACAAAAAACAAAAAGCTAACGTTAATAAATGACGTTACTGACGGGACTTCAACTGTTTTTTTTTTACATTGTCATACCATCTATTACGAAATGAATCTAAACTGAAATGAAAATAATGCAATCGTACTGCTGTAACTCTGGAACTTTTCTAACTTTTCTTAACTTATTTTTTTGTTCCTTGAAATATGTATTGTATTACATGTATTCAATCTCTCATTGGAATTTTTCCATTTTTCTAATTCCAATTTCTCATTAACACAAGATTCGAGTGCAATTTTTAATTTAGTAATTTAAAGTGTCTCAGTGATTGAAATATTATGGAAAATCGTAAAAAAGCGATTAGGTTATGATAGGAAAAGGCAACACGAACGAAGTGCTTACGTTGTCTAAATCGTGATTTCAGATTGTAAGGGTTATAGACAATATACGTAGAAGCGATTTCTGCAAGACAAAAACTACTAAAAGGTGTCACATTAGAGCAGGAATTTTCGTGGACTAGAATTTTCTCTATCTCGAGCATAACTGGTTGAATTTAGGAGATTCGTATTAGGGATGGCTAACTGTTTATAATAATAATAATAACACAATAAATAATTACATTAAATCTGTTGTATTTAATACTAAGTTAATAATGGTGTGAGCTGCAAGGTACATGAAAGACTCGGGTTATTGCTACGACTTCATAATTTTCGGCTCCTTATTTCTTTCGTCTGTTTTGCATGGAATATGTCGCAAATAGAGGTTTGGATGACAACGTAATTGGTACCTACCTATACTTGTCGTCCTGGATGATAAATAGATATGTAAATCTTTACTATTTTCAGAATATTAATTGTAAATTCACAATAACTGTAATTTAACTACAACAGTTTAGCTTTATGTTCTGGTAAGTTTTAACCGCACCTTCGCTCGCGCTGATGTCCTAAGTACGTGTCGAAGATTATCGAATCTACAATAATTCTATCAGGATCGTCAGGATAAAACTAAAATTTTCAATTTTTTAGGTTAAACATACACTTTACGTAGAATGACAGTGAATACCGTCCTTCTTGATCGAAATGAAACGAATATTTTTCTATTCCTCGGGAACGGTGTTTCTTTTCTGGATAAATGCAATCTTATGCTCTTTTTTATACTTCTGACAATATGTGTACAAAATTTCATGACGATCGGTTGAGCAGTTAAAGTGTGAAATCGGAACAAACATACAAAAATGTTCATTCGTATCTAACTTAAGAGTTAGAATGCCAAATAGTATTCATTTTGGGGTTTCAATTACAAAAAATTGTTAAGGGGTTTTCCATAATCAGACAACTATCGAAAATTAGGCGATTTTCTTCTACTTTGTTTTAAATTAAACAGGTTTTTATGACGAAACCAGGGTTTGAATTATTTAAATCCTAACAAAATTTATCCTAGGATCATAATTTCATCTCTAAATTTGTGTCGACGTCTATGTTTAAAGATTACTCTACCGCTATCAGAAACAGTGGAAACGCGGAGTTCACCGACCGCGGATAATATTGTCTGATAGAACCTTGAAAAAATGAAATATTCAATAGACAGTGCCAATTAAAATGCTGCGAAACGCAAAAAATGATTTTATATGGGTTATTACATACATAATTAGATCCGCAGCCCATTTCAGCTTTTAAATAGATGCAAAGAACGTAATAGGTGCGCACCACGTCTTCTAATACTGGTTGGAAAATTGACTGCATTTTTACAAAAGGTTGTTTAAACCCTGCATTCTAGCTTCGTGTTTTTAATTTAATACTTTTTATGCAAAGATTGATATAAATTGTTATAGAATAAGTAACATGTAAAAAAATTGGCTTTGGTATTAGAGAAGTAGTAGAAATATGTATGTACTTTTGGAATAAAAAAATTCGCAGCATCTAAATTCGGAAAAGCAAAAGATATCGAATCGGTTTATAACTCATTGAAATGAATAAATAACAATCGCAAGAAATGGCTATTGTTGGACATTTAATTATAGGGATCTAATAGTCGCCGACAGTTGGTTCTGGGCTTAAATAATTACCAATTTGAGAAATTGTATTATGATCATTGTTGGCAGATTCCTTGCCGTTCTCGTAAATACATTTTTTTACGTTTTCGTGATTTTTGCAAACAGTTTAATTTATTTCTGTATAACTTTTACCAAGCTAAAGCCTGCAATTCGATGGAAATTTTTTTTAAAAAATAATCTGCCTCGCCTACACTTATATTTTCAAAAAATTTTAATATTGTCTAGCAGTAAACATTATGTATAAGGAATTTTGTGTAAGAGATCGTGAAATACGAATATTTTCTAACACGTATTGCCCAACGCTCTGACGAATTAGAATTTCAAAATTAGTGGTAAAAATGGTCTTTATTTCTTTGAAAATGTTACAGATTGTTTCACAATTACCCAATTATTTTTCGCTAATATTTACATACGATTCGCTTAATTTCATATTATTGTTAACTACACTCATTTTACCCATGTATAAGTGACATTGATAATGACATTGTCATGTTTCCACTTATCATGCAGTTTAATTAAAAAAAAGTTTTCTTTTGTTATCACCTATCATAAGATAAACCCTTAATATCTCCATACTAAGCACCAAAAGTAAACAGTTTAAGGCAAATATTTAATTTGTCAATATATCTACTGAAATTAACATGAATGAATGATCTGTTGTTATTGTTTAAAAGAAAAACTGTTAAAAAATAATCATCTAAATAATTCTTGTAATTTAATTATATGTGTGTATATTAAATTAATTTTCGTTTTATTTTTAAATGAAACATTAAATACGTAGTGAAATTACATATTAAGTAAAACTGTATGAGACNAAGAGCTAAATAAATGCTTAAACAAAAGAATTTTTTAGTGTTTTCAAAATTTTTCAAACTTTCATCTATCTGATGCTTTTCATTTGAGTGTAACTCAATTGGGTATCGAATACAGAGATCAAAATCAAGAAGATTAATCTGTTACTGCGGGCATGCAAGTTAACATAATAGTATGTCATGCCCACGGTGTGATGTGCGATATTTGGGTAGTAAAAGTGCCCAATTAAATGACTTCCTTTCATTTATTTTTAAGTTAAATATTTACAAAGAATTTAGTTGATGCGTTTAATTAATAATTTGCACATACGCTACTTACTTGGCGCGGAGAAAATTAAATAAATAAGCTTTTGGTAACGAAAAAGAACATCCGATTTAATTATTTTATAAGAAATCAAAAAAGAAAGAAAGAAATTTAATTATTCTAAACAACTCAGCATACTTATTGGTAAAGGAAAATTTTTACTGGATCTCCTTTTTATGATAAAGAGCAGCAATTAATCTTGTAAAGTAAATGGACCATAAGGAAAATTGGAGTGTTAAAACGCTTCATCGATGTACCGTTTACTTTCCCTAATTATCTATTGGAAAGAATTTTGTCAGTTAAATATCTGAAATTATAAAAGAGCAATCGATAGCAATTATCTTTTCGCCCTTCAACTAACTCAGGGCAATTTTTCTTTCTTTTACGCCAATCTTAAAAGCTTGATAAACAGTTCTCAAAAAGGCAGGTGTTACAGCGTGAAAAATAACTGAAAGCAACTTCCTTGTTAAGTGCCTCGATTTCTTCACAACAAAATCATTAATCATCGAACCATGTCGTGGTAATTATTTTCGGTTTCCAAACAGATTTTTCTTTGCTCATAAAAATTCACTTAGTCCGTTGTTGTTTCTTATAACGAAAGACTTATACTGTGTTTTTACGGACAACTAATCTATCATTTCTTTTAAAACATCATCCTTACTGAAGAGACAGAATTTTCAAATTTACGTGGTGAGATTTAACCCTTTAAAAGAGCGGGTTTAGTAGGCCATATTACAATACAAAAGATTATCGTTAGTACCTACAGTAGCATCACCAAATACAGAAATATCTTGACAGTAGTTTGTTCTAAATACGGTAGAACTTTTTTAAAAACAACTTTTCTTTCTTGGAATTACTTTTAAATAGCCCAGTTACGAAAACGTACATGAGAAATCAGACGGGGGGGGGGTGTGTTGTTAATTTTTATTAGTTAATTGTTTAGAACTGATTGTAAAAATACGGTAACAAATATAGCATTTCGAGCCCCAGGAGGAAGGGAGAACTTTTACCCACCATAACCTAACCCTAATTAGGTTAGGTAGGTTTCCTCCATTAGGGGGCTTTCTCTACCCCTCCCATAGTTCTTGACGATTAACCATTAATGAGGATTATAGAATAAATGGGCGATTTTGTATTGCTGCTGCTCATTGGCTTTTAATCATACGTCTCACATTCAATGATATTTAATCTGTCAAGAAACAATAACAAATGTTTTGGTATAACAGCGGTGACATGTCTATTTGCATACCGAAATGCGTATGGATATGAATTGGTGAATTTCTAAATATCTTTTCTTTTTGTCAAGTCTTTCACCATAAACTGTTGTATCGGTAGATTCATTTCATTTGGCCCAATACCATTTTTATGTTTTAGAGTTAAGTAAATCATTTGAAACGACGATTTCCTGGTCAATATAGATTGGTCGCAGAGGTGTTAAGGAATCACGTTCATGGTCGTCTGACTTGACTATTTAAAAATTAAAATTTATATCTTTATAGTCCAATTTTTGTAGAAAACTGCTGTCAAATTATTCCATAAATCACAATATTCGACAATAATTTGAGCAAAATCTTTATTATTGCATGGAAGTTGGCAGTGGTCATTTTGAACATTTAATCAGTTGACACGTAAAAAGTCAATACATACTTACCTTTATTCTTGTTACTGTGTCATAATTAAAGTAAGAAACTGTAACAGAGGGAATTAAAAGGCCTTTGAAATGGTTCGTAGTTTGACTTGACTTTCACTTAAAAATTCAAGAACGCTAGGCCTCCCTGTTTTGCTTTA